CAAAATTCTTTCTCAAATAATGGAAGATGCCAATTTATATACTTGTTTATTTTGGTCATGGTTTTCGTTTCTTCCAATTTTTTAATCTTAGGCACCTCCCACGAACCAAAGGTTTACTCTACTTGCTCGTGCTGGAAGACAGGTATTTTCCTTTCTCAATTGCCACCTCATATTTTTTTAAAATGAAACAGCGTTAAAGGAATGTGCAACACACATTTTGCAATAGGTTTAATTCTATTTTTGTTTGATGAATAAATAAATTTATAATAGTCTCTGACCTTATAATTGAGGAGCAAGTCACCTACTCCTACTTGAGGACCAAGTAACCTAAATTTTGTAGGAATTTTGTCTCTAGTTATGCACTATGCAAGTGAAATGCACCTCAAAACTACAAAACAGGTGCTTAGATGTCAAAGAAACATACAATTTTGGCCTTTAAGTACGAGATGATTGAATTAGCTTCTCTAATAATATTGGAAGGACTCAATTGGTAATATGAGAAGTAATTCATGGTACTGTTATTGATCAATTTACAACCACTGCTGTCAACTGAGTGTTCAATTTAGGAAAATATCAACTGATCACATAATGAAGTATTGTGCGTTGCATCAATTGTCATGTGAGGATACTACGTAAGTTAAGTACAATATTGACTATTATAGTCTAGTATTATGGCACTGCTATTCTCTTAAATAGAAATATTAACTACAATCTTTTAGGTTGATGGTAACAATCTTTTAGTTTGATGGTAAGTGTTTTATCTAACATGAAGCAAAAATAAAACACAGATTCTTATTAACAACTAAGTTGCAACAACCATATCCCATAATTATGAATTTATTTTTCTTAAAAGAAATGCAGAAAAATTGAACTATTATTCTATTTTACCATAACAAAGGATTAAATCATAGATATTTTTACGTCTCTAAGCCTCTGTACATGTTACCATCTCATAAATTTGAATATTTTTAATTAAATTTTTATTAAAAATATTTGTTTTATTTAGTTTTCAAAATATTTTTTTAAAATTCGTGTAAGTACTCTGTTGTTTGATTGTTTGCCATCAAAAACCTTTACTCTTGTCTTCCAGTCTCTAACTTATTGAAGAACTAGTTTCTTTCCTCTCCCATCTCTTCCAAAAAGTTGGAAGAGTAGACAGAAATAATGACTAGGCCGTCCCATGAACAGAAAAATCAACAAAATATTTTTAATAAAGATTCAATTAAAAATGAGATATTTAAAACTTAATCAATTCTAATTATATGTTTTCACGCTTTTAAGGAAATGTTGTTAAAATATAATAAATTTAGCTCAAAGTATTCTAATATATTTTGTCTCTTTATTCACTTATTTTTCCTGACATAATTCGAATATATTACCTATATTTATAATGTATACAAAATGTGACATATGCTTTTCTCATGTGATGCAGGTGCAGGAGATACATTTGACTACGTCTCTCGACCAGGAAGGTATCAAGAAGGCATTACAACGAGTGTTGGAGCGTGTCCCCTGAATCTGATCCACTGAGCTCTTTCTTCACACATTCAGTTATTTTGTACAGTTACATCTCACAAATTTAAGATACGCTAGTATGGTATTTATAAATCTGATATATATCCTCCTTCCTCAACGTATATTCGAAAAATGTTCAAGAATTGATTGATAAAATACTCCTTGTACATTTGCTTCAACACATTTCTGTTTATCATATAAATACATTGAATAGAAATAAAAAGAGTATATATAAATTGAAAATTTCCCATTGAATAAAGGAGGGAGAACGTTATGAATACAAATATGAACAATTGAAGGCTCACCCAGAGACAAATATGTATAAAAACCTATCATTAATATCCGAACATATTTAATACATGTTAGACAACAGAGAATCAGTCACAGGAAACATATAGATAAAACATTTTTATTATGAATTGACATTAAAACATATTACATTATGTTTATAATAGAGTTCAGAAAGGGTGTCCCTGTAATATCTAAGCATAACATGTTTAGAAAACACAGAGGATGTTCAGACAACAGAGACCCTGGTGACTGACGGCGGAGTAGAATCGGCGTTGAGGTCGACCTCCCTGAGGCGAGTCTCAAGACCCTTACCCCCTCCATTGGCCAATGGATGAATTCCATGTTCTGGCCCTGTCATATATTCCCTTCCTTTTCTTTCTTCATCATAGTCTATCCCCATCCGCTCTGCACAACCTACAATCGTAAATAGAAGCCATCAGAAGACACACGAAGGCCTATACCAAGAATTACAAAGTAAGCAAACATATGCATATACTTTTGACTAGGTGATCATAGATCTGGCCATCTCTAGTGAAAGCCATCATGAGCTGAGGTATCCCAAATGGGAGGGAGTGACCCTTGTCCACTTGCCAGAAATGGAAAACTTTGCCGTAAGTCTTGCAGACTGTCTCCATGTCTCGGCGCTGAATGAGAGCAGGAACCTTAGGCATGAAGAGGAGACCACTCTTGACCTCGTACAAGTGAGAGTGCCAGAGAGGCTTCTCCTCGTCGGGCAGTGTTAAGTATAGGTTTTCTGAGATGATGTACTCAAGCCCTATAAGCCTCGCTTTCTTCTCGGGGCTGTCGTATATCAGACACTGCCTCATCTCCTCGTTCTTGTGCGCACAATAGTGGTGTGCCTCCACTTGTCGGGTCATGTCATGAGAGTAAAAGTGAAACCTGCATTACAAACATAACACCGTATTAAGCACCTTTGTTTCTTCACCTGCTGTTCTGTCATGACATGACAATGTCTCATCAGGTATTGTTGAGGAGACAGAATGCAGTTAAGTCACGTCAATTCATAAGTAAAATAGAAAGTCTGAAATGTGCACGTAACAGTGATGGTACGTAGTACCCAGAAGAATAAAAATGTAATGAAAGAAAAGAAAAGGAATATTGAATTGATTTGCTCACGCGCAAAGATGTTGGTGGATTTTGTTTATGGGGTCGAAGTTTTGGATAACAGATGTGGCAGTGTCACGGAGGTAGGTGCCTGTTTGAGTTGGCTCGCCGTCAAGAACTTGTGGCTGGTCGTCGTTGGTAGACATTTTTTGAGATTGATGTGTTTAATCTTTTAGATATGGTTTTAGTTAGTTATATAGATATGTAGATGATGAAGGAACTGGTACATGGCACTTTGACAACGTTCGAACCATGCAGCTTCACGCGTGGTTCTGAAACTTGACGTGGCATCGCACGTGGCTCTTTCATTTTATACTACGTTTCATGTCATGCTCGAAATGATGTTACCAACTAAACTAATTTAAAATAAACTGAAAATTAAATATACTTTTAGTTACTTAATTTTGATCTAAAATTATAATTTATTTTTGTCATCAGTTAGTCTTTAAATTTTATAAATAATAAATTCAATTCTTTTATCTCAATTTCAATTGTATTAAAATTGTGAATAACATGTCATATGTTAAGAACCGTGCTACTTTGAAAACCCATTTTCCTATTTCATTGATTCTATTTTTTTCCTTTCCTTCCTGAAATCATTGTGAAAAATTAATTTTTGCAAAAAAAGAAAGAAAGAATATATGTGAGTTACCATAGAAATATTACTTATTATAATAAATTTAAAATATTATTACTCTAATCACTTCACAAATTAATACAAAACATATTATTCTTTAAAACTCAAATTCTTTTATATTTTATAACAATTTAAAATACTTTATTACACCTATGAAATGTTCAAAATCATCAACATCAACTACTTAAAACATTACTTTCAAGTTCATATCATCGTAATCAAATTAATCACGTATGAACAAAATCAACAATCATCAAAATTAAAAACTATTATGTTAAGTTTCAAGTGTATAATGAAATCAAAACATTTGTCAATCAACACTATCACAAAGAATCTAAACAATTATAAATACTCAAACAAAAAACTTTATAAATCAAATCCAATGTTCGACTTCAACTAACTTAAAATCACCACATATCACAATTTCATCAACTTCCAAAATATTTCAAAGTGTTCAAATTTTACAATTAAGTAGAGATTATACTCTAATTAAAGAGACAATTAAAATCTTAACCAAAATGTTATATTAATTCAAAATTTACACATGTACAACCTTATAACTATACTAATCTCAACTTCAAAAGATTATTCAAAAGAACTACAGAGACATAAAACCCTCAAACATACTTTTGAGAGATGACACGAGAGCAAAGATTCTCGATTTTGGTTTGGCTAAAATTATTGAAATTATTGAAATTATTGCACGAGGAAGAAATTATAATTTGTGTAGATTTGTGCAGTTGTCATTCTTTGGCAAGTAACGAAAAATTTAAGTGAAGAAAACATTTTGGGTAGGGGGATTTGGAGTGGTTTACAGAAGGGAATTGGATGGTGGAACTAAAGATGTTGTGAAGAGGATGGAATGTGGTTTTATATAATGATAAGTAAGGGAATTAATGAATTGGAAGCGTAAATTGCAGTTCTGAGTAAAGTAAGGCACATACACTTGGTGAATTTTTTAGGACATTGTATTGAAGGCGACGAAAAGCTTTTGGTGTATGAGTATATGCCTCAAGGGACATTAACTCAACATCTGTTCTCTTAACGTTAAAATGACAATGCTCCTTTGACTTGGAAGCAAAGGGTAACAATACCTTTAGACCTAGCATGAGGAGTGAAAGATTTGCACCACCTAGCTCAACAAAACTTCATTCATAGAGACATAAAATCCTAAAACATACTTTTGGAAGATGACATGAGAGCAAAGGTTTCAGATTTTGGTTTGCGTTAAAATTATTGCACGAGGAGTAAATTATAATTTAGACATTATTAGAACTTGTGCAATTGTCATTATTCGACAAGTAACTAAAAATTTCAGTGAAGAAAACATTTTGGGTAGGAGGATTTGGAGTGGTTAAAATTGTTGCACCAGGAGGAAATGATTCTGTGTGGACATGAGTGGCCGAAACATTTGGATATTTGAAACCTGAATATGCAGGTATATAGAAAGAGTACGATTGCACGAGTACTTATACGACTTTTTATTTATTTTACTATTTTAAGTAATGAACACTAGGCGATGCGTAAGATCGCACGAGTACAAACTCTTGATAAAAAAGCATGGGACTCACCAACTTGACTACGAAACAACCAAATTATTTTATATTTCAATTAGAATTTTTATATGTTTTAATTTAAACATTAGTTTGAAATACCATTTATAAATTAATCTTTTTAATATTATTAAAATAAAAATTATATATATTTATTTTTAAAAGTTTAAAAACTAATATGTATCCACATAGTAGATAAATTTTAATTTCATGTTTAATTTTAAATACTGAAAACAATATTTAATTCATAAATTTATTAACATTTTACTATGTCAACTATAACAAACAATAGTGAGCAGATTTACCAAAAATTATGATTTATCAAAGATCCCATCGATAATAAAAACACGAACAAAAAATTATTACTTAACATTTCTCAAGTGAACAAAATGACGAATTACTCCAAATGTATTTAAATTAGTTATTTATTCTTTATTGCTTTTATTCTACTTTTTCTCTCTCGCAAATTAGTTTCCTCATTTTCCTAGTGCAGCTGTACTTACAAAAAATCTACGTGTTTTTCCACTGAGATAATTCCACATAGCTTTTCAACCGTAATTTAACTAAGTTTATCCATTTTGTTGTGTTTATATTTCTTCAAACTAAAACAATAGTTTGGTTGTTTTTTCATTTGACATTGTTTTGAAATTTTTGTTTAAAATAACACAATTTTAAATATTTTTTTAAATGACATATTGTTTATAATATTTATGTAGATAACATTATTTAGGATTTATGATNCCAAATTAACCATTGTGTAAAAACTTCATTGATATTCTTGTTGGTTGACTAAATCCATGCTTCGAAATCATAGGATTTGAGTGCAGTGAAGCTATTTGCTTTGTTGTGAACAAACTATGTAAAAAATTTAAGCCATTGGATGAATGCACATGTGGTTTTATATCTAATATGTCCCTTCAAGCATTAGCATTGAGCTCTTAGGACTTGAAGAATGAAAAATGTAAAGAATACACTGCCTTGTCTACAACCAAGAGTATAAGGATTGAACTATGAACCTCATAGTTATAGAGGCTTGTATACCATGTCATGAATTAACACTATAAAAACTTGATGAACCACATGAATGAATTTTAGATCAAACATTGTTATTTTTCTATATTGATACTTTTCGTCTGGATTCATGGAAATCATTTTTTGACTTATCTAAGTTCTTGCAGTGTAAAATCAAGGCTCACCTTATCAATTAAACAGCTAGAAGAAGATCCACTTCTAGAAACTCTGGACAAAGTAATACCTCAGGTTTGTAGTGTAGGGAACTCTCACCTCGTCTCCTTAATTTTTGGGATGCAGCTTATATATATGTTGAGCAACTTTGCTTAATCCAATTGGCTTTAACATGCTTTACACGATATCAGAGTTTATAGTTCTAGAATAATTACCGTAAGCTCGCCTGGTGTGGCAAACAACTATGAAGTGGGGTGTTGAGAAATCTAACATTGCCTGCCTCAATTAATGAATGTGTTTTATACATTTGTGGGACAACTTCGCATCAAGCCAATTGGTTTTAACATAAGATCAAACATGTATAATCATGAACTATACATTCATATGCAGGCGGAAGGAAATGTTTTGATCAATAATTTCTATATTTCAGGATGGTTCAGCTGATCTTGATTCTCTGAGCGGTGGTGAGGGTGATAGTATTGAACCTCTTCCAGGGCTTGAAACAATCCTTGAAGAGCTACAACAGGAAGATGGGTATGTTTGCAAACTATTTGAAAATTTTAACTACTCGAAATATTGGCAATCAGAGTCTCAGCAATTGAAATTCATCTAGAAACAATCATGAGCGTAGAACGAAAAAGAGGGCAAATCTTGTCCCACACGCTCTTGAAAATACATGCACACTGTGACTAGAAAAATTTGGAAGGGTGAAAGAGAAGACAAATGGTTATTACTAGTTTTCTTGACCAATGTAGGAGGATGGAATTTGGAGGGTTCAAACATTTAAAAATATAGTACTTGGTAAATTATTAACTCTTTGATTTTGGAGTGTGAAAAAAGAAGAAAGAATGTGACTCTTTTTAATTTTATTTCGAGTTTTGAGTAATTATATTACTGCTTGAAGGTTTTGTGCATAGAACCACTGGAAGATTAGTGACTGAATTATTACATTAAAAATAAACATTTGCAACATGCCATTTGTCATTTTGTTCATAAATGCCTATTACCACGTATTTTCCGCCAAAACTGCATTTTATATTTTAATTTTGAAAGTGACATTCATCCTTGTATCCAAATTGTGTGTTTCGTGCCCTTCATTTTGTTAATACTTTTACTTAAATGGCAGTATCAATTAGATGACTTTTCAAAAAACGAGTTAGAATGAATGCATTATGACTTTTCTATGGTGTGACGACAGTATATATGGTGTAAGAATTAGCCGTCAAGGGTTTGAAAAACGAGTGGTCTCGCAAGACTTACAACTGTGGCTTTCTAATGTGAGTTTTCATTCAAAATTCTTTCTCAAATAATGGAAGATGCCAATTTATATACTTGTTTATTTTGGTCATGGTTTTCGTTTCTTCCAATTTTTTAATCTTAGGCACCTCCCACGAACCAAAGGTTTACTCTACTTGCTCGTGCTGGAAGACAGGTATTTTCCTTTCTCAATTGCCACCTCATATTTTTTTAAAATGAAACAGCGTTAAAGGAATGTGCAACACACATTTTGCAATAGGTTTAATTCTATTTTTGTTTGATGAATAAATAAATTTATAATAGTCTCTGACCTTATAATTGAGGAGCAAGTCACCTACTCCTACTTGAGGACCAAGTAACCTAAATTTTGTAGGAATTTTGTCTCTAGTTATGCACTATGCAAGTGAAATGCACCTCAAAACTACAAAACAGGTGCTTAGATGTCAAAGAAACATACAATTTTGGCCTTTAAGTACGAGATGATTGAATTAGCTTCTCTAATAATATTGGAAGGACTCAATTGGTAATATGAGAAGTAATTCATGGTACTGTTATTGATCAATTTACAACCACTGCTGTCAACTGAGTGTTCAATTTAGGAAAATATCAACTGATCACATAATGAAGTATTGTGCGTTGCATCAATTGTCATGTGAGGATACTACGTAAGTTAAGTACAATATTGACTATTATAGTCTAGTATTATGGCACTGCTATTCTCTTAAATAGAAATATTAACTACAATCTTTTAGGTTGATGGTAACAATCTTTTAGTTTGATGGTAAGTGTTTAATCTAACATGAAGCAAAAATAAAACACAGATTCTTATTAACAACTAAGTTGCAACAACCATATCCCATAATTATGAATTTATTTTTCTTAAAAGAAATGCAGAAAAATTGAACTATTATTCTATTTTACCATAACAAAGGATTAAATCATAGATATTTTTACGTCTCTAAGCCTCTGTACATGTTACCATCTCATAAATTTGAATATTTTTAATTAAATTTTTATTAAAAATATTTGTTTTATTTAGTTTTCAAAATATTTTTTTAAAATTCGTGTAAGTACTCTGTTGTTTGATTGTTTGCCATCAAAAACCTTTACTCTTGTCTTCCAGTCTCTAACTTATTGAAGAACTAGTTTCTTTCCTCTCCCATCTCTTCCAAAAAGTTGGAAGAGTAGACAGAAATAATGACTAGGCCGTCCCATGAACAGAAAAATCAACAAAATATTTTTAATAAAGATTCAATTAAAAATGAGATATTTAAAACTTAATCAATTCTAATTATATGTTTTCACGCTTTTAAGGAAATGTTGTTAAAATATAATAAATTTAGCTCAAAGTATTCTAATATATTTTGTCTCTTTATTCACTTATTTTTCCTGACATAATTCGAATATATTACCTATATTTATAATGTATACAAAATGTGACATATGCTTTTCTCATGTGATGCAGGTGCAGGAGATACATTTGACTACGTCTCTCGACCAGGAAGGTATCAAGAAGGCATTACAACGAGTGTTGGAGCGTGTCCCCTGAATCTGATCCACTGAGCTCTTTCTTCACACATTCAGTTATTTTGTACAGTTACATCTCACAAATTTAAGATACGCTAGTATGGTATTTATAAATCTGATATATATCCTCCTTCCTCAACGTATATTCGAAAAATGTTCAAGAATTGATTGATAAAATACTCCTTGTACATTTGCTTCAACACATTTCTGTTTATCATATAAATACATTGAATAGAAATAAAAAGAGTAAATATAAATTGAAAATTTCCCATTGAATAAAGGAGGGAGAACGTTATGAATACAAATATGAACAATTGAAGGCTCACCCAGAGACAAATATGTATAAAAACCTATCATCAATATCCGAACATATTTAATACATGTTAGACAACAGAGAATCAGTCACAGGAAACATATAGATAAAACATTTTTATTATGAATTGACATTAAAACATATTACATTATGTTTATAATAGAGTTCAGAAAGGGTGTCCCTGTAATATCTAAGCATAACATGTTTAGAAAACACAGAGGATGTTCAGACAACAGAGACCCTGGTGACTGACGGCGGAGTAGAATCGGCGTTGAGGTCGACCTCCCTGAGGCGAGTCTCAAGACCCTTACCCCCTCCATTGGCCAATGGATGAATTCCATGTTCTGGCCCTGTCATATATTCCCTTCCTTTTCTTTCTTCATCATAGTCTATCCCCATCCGCTCTGCACAACCTACAATCGTAAATAGAAGCCATCAGAAGACACACGAAGGCCTATACCAAGAATTACAAAGTAAGCAAACATATGCATATACTTTTGACTAGGTGATCATAGATCTGGCCATCTCTAGTGAAAGCCATCATGAGCTGAGGTATCCCAAATGGGAGGGAGTGACCCTTGTCCACTTGCCAGAAATGGAAAACTTTGCCGTAAGTCTTGCAGACTGTCTCCATGTCTCGGCGCTGAATGAGAGCAGGAACCTTAGGCATGAAGAGGAGACCACTCTTGACCTCGTACAAGTGAGAGTGCCAGAGAGGCTTCTCCTCGTCGGGCAGTGTTAAGTATAGGTTTTCTGAGATGATGTACTCAAGCCCTATAAGCCTCGCTTTCTTCTCGGGGCTGTCGTATATCAGACACTGCCTCATCTCCTCGTTCTTGTGCGCACAATAGTGGTGTGCCTCCACTTGTCGGGTCATGTCATGAGAGTAAAAGTGAAACCTGCATTACAAACATAACACCGTATTAAGCACCTTTGTTTCTTCACCTGCTGTTCTGTCATGACATGACAATGTCTCATCAGGTATTGTTGAGGAGACAGAATGCAGTTAAGTCACGTCAATTCATAAGAAAAATAGAAAGTCTGAAATGTGCACGTAACAGTGATGGTACGTAGTACCCAGAAGAATAAAAATGTAATGAAAGAAAAGAAAAGGAATATTGAATTGATTTGCTCACGCGCAAAGATGTTGGTGGATTTTGTTTATGGGGTCGAAGTTTTGGATAACAGATGTGGCAGTGTCACGGAGGTAGGTGCCTGTTTGAGTTGGCTCGCCGTCAAGAACTTGTGGCTGGTCGTCGTTGGTAGACATTTTTTGAGATTGATGTGTTTAATCTTTTAGATATGGTTTTAGTTAGTTATATAGATATGTAGATGATGAAGGAACTGGTACATGGCACTTTGACAACGTTCGAACCATGCAGCTTCACGCGTGGTTCTGAAACTTGACGTGGCATCGCACGTGGCTCTTTCATTTTATACTACGTTTCATGTCATGCTCGAAATGATGTTACCAACTAAACTAATTTAAAATAAACTGAAAATTAAATATACTTTTAGTTACTTAATTTTGATCTAAAATTAAAATTTATTTTTGTCATCAGTTAGTCTTTAAATTTTACAAATAATAAATACAATTCTTTTATCTCAATTTCAATTGTATTAAAATTGTGAATAACATGTCATATGTTAAGAACCGTGCTACTTTGAAAACCCATTTTCCTATTTCATTGATTCTATTTTTTTCCTTTCCTTCCTGAAATCATTGTGAAAAATTAATTTTTGCAAAAAAAGAAAGAAAGAATATATGTGAGTTACCATAGAAACATTACTTATTAACTTGTTATAATAAATTTATAATATTATTACTCTAATCACTTCACAAATTTATACAAAACATATTATTCTTTAAAACTCAAATTCTTTTATATTTTATAACAATTTAAAATACTTTATTACATCAACTACTTAAAACATTACTTTCAAGTACATATCATCATAATCAAATTAATCACGTATGAACAAAATCAACGATCACCAAAATTAAAAACTATCATATTAAGTTTCAAGTGTATAATGAAATCCAAACATTTGTCAATCAACACATCAACACTATCACAATAATCATCCATCATGTTCATAAATCTAAACAATTATAAATACTCAAACCAAAAAAATTATAAATCAAATCCAACGTTCAACTTCAACTAACTTAAAATCACCACATATCACAATTTCATCAACTTCCAAAATATTTCAAAGTGTTCAAATTTCACAATTAAGTAGAGATTATACTCTAATTAAAGAGACAATTAAAATCTTAACCAAAATGTTATATTAATTCAAAATTTATACATGTATAACCTTATAACTATAGTAATCTCAACTTCAAAAGATTATTCAAAAGAACTATAGAGACATAAAACCCTCAAACATACTTTTGAGAGATGACATGAGAGCAAAGATTTTCGATTTTGGTTTGGCTAAAATTATTGAAATTATTGCACGAGGAAGAAATTATAATTTGTGTAGATTTGTGCAGTTGTCATTCTTTGGCAAGTAATGAAAAATTTAAGTGAAGAAAACATTTTGGGTATGGGGATTTGGAGTGGTTTACAGAAGGGAATTGGATGGTGGAACTAAAATTGTTGTGAAGAGGATGAAATGTGGTTTTTATAGAATGAGAAGTAAGGGAATTAATGAATTGGAAGCATAAATTGCAGTTCTGAGTAAAGTAAGGCACATATACTTGGTGACTTTTTTAGGACATTGTATTGAAGGCGACGAAAAGCTTTTGGTGTACGAGTATATGCCTCAAGGGACATTAACTCAAAATCTGTTCTCTTGACGTTAAAATCACAGTGCTCCTTTGACTTGGAAACAAAGGGTAACAATAGCTTTAGACCTAGCATGAAGAGTGAAACATTTGCACAACCTAACTCAACAAAGCTTCATTCATAGAAACATAAAACCCTCAAACATACTTTTGGGAGATGACATGAGAGCAAAGGTTTCAGATTTTGGTTTGGGTTAAAATTATTGCACGAGGAGTAAATTATAATTTAGACATTATTAGAACTTGTGCATATTTGTGCAGTTGTCATTCTTCGACAAGTAACTAAAAATTTCAGTGAAGAAAACATTTTGGGTAGGGGGATTTGGAGTGGTTAAAATTGTTGCACCAGGAGGAAATGATTCTGTGTGGACATGAGTGGCAGAAACATTTGGATATCTGAAACCTGAATATGCAGGTATATAGAAAGAGTATGATTGCACGAGTACTTATACGACTTTTTATTTATTTTACTATTTTAAGTAATGAGCACTAGGCGATGCATAAGATCGCACTAGTACAAACTCTTGATAAAAAAGCATGGGACTCACCAACTTGGCTACGAAACAACCAAATTTTTTTATATTTCAATCAGAATTTTTATATGTTTTAATTTAAATATTAGTATGAAATACCATTTAATAATTTTTTTTAATATTATTAAAATAAAAATTATATATATTTATTTTTAAAAGTTTAAAAACTACTATGTATCGACATAGTAGATAAATTTTAATTTCATGTTTAATTTTAAATACTGAAAACAATATTTAATTCATAAATTTATTAACATTGTACTATGTCAACTATAACAAATACAATAATAATATAGTGAGCAGATTTACCAAAAATTATGATTTATAAAAGATCCCATAGATAATAAAAACACGAACAAAAAATTATTACTTAACATTTCTCAAGTGAACAAAATGACGAATTACTCCAAATGTATTTAAATTAGTTATTTATTCTTTATTGCTTTTATTCTACTTTTTCTCTCTCGCAAATTAGTTTCCTCATTTTCCTAGTGCAGCTGTACTTACAAAAAAACTACGTGTTTTTCCACTGAGATAATTCCACATAGCTTTTCAACCGCAATTTAACTAAGTTTATCCATTTTGTTGTGTTTATATTTCTTCAAACTAAAACAATAGTTTGGTTGTTTTTTCATTTGACATTGTTTTGAAATTTTTGTTTAAAATAACACAATTTTAAATATTTTTTTAAATGACATATTGTTTATAATATTTATGTAGATAACATTATTTAGGATTTATGATCAAAAAATATCTATGAATACCATAGAAATGTTACTTATTAACTTATTATAATAAAAATATATGAAACTATTAGTCCAAAATGGTTTGATCCAATATTTGGACCAAGTCAATAATTAACCTGAATTAATATTAATTATCATAGAGCTTTGAAAAGAAAAATAAAATCCACGAAAGTTCTAATTGTTATGATGCTTATGGAAAAACTAAAGTCATACGTTTGAGTGACCCATGAGAGTTTGATTGCAAGGTGACCAGCAATGACTATATATATATATACAATCTATTTTTCGTTTCTTTATAATCACTAAAAAATTATTTTAATTTTCTGTTTCCGAGATAAGTCTTTAAGACCAAATAAGCCAATGAGAAAAAGCTAAAAACACTATAAAACAACACCAAATAATGAATAAAAAAGTGAGCAGTCAAAAGATACTCTAATCATGTCATTCTTCAATACTCTCTAATCACTTCACACATTTATACAAAACATATTGTTCTTTAAAACTTAAATTCTTTTATATTTTATAACAATTTAAAATACTCCAATGAATTGTACAAAATAGTCAACATCAACTACCTAAAACATTACTTTCAATTATATCACCATAATCAAATTAATCATACTAACTCTAGTTATACAGAATTTCACGTATAAATAAAATGATTATGATATATTAACAATTTTTTAATAATTTTTTACAGTAGATTATGTGTCACTATTTTATTGATCCGTATATTTGAAACGAACCAATCACAAACTATCATAGACAGTTATAAAAAAATTGTCAAAAAAAATTGTTAGAAAAACATTTTCTTAAACAAAATCAAGGATCATCTAAATTAAAAACCATCATACTAAGTTTCGAGTATTTAATGAAATCCAAATATTCATCAATCTCCACTGTTACAATAATCAACCATCATCTTCATAAATCTAAACAATTATAAATACTACAAAAAAAACTCTATAAATCAAATCAAATGTTCCACTTCAACTAACTTAAAATCACCACATATCAAACTTGCAAAAATATTTCGGAAGTGTTCAAATTTCACAATTAAGTAGAGATTATAATCCAATTAAAGAAACAATTAAAACCTTAACCAAAATTTTATATTAATTCAAAATTTATACATGTACAACCTTATAAATAAACAAACACCTAAAACTAATTCCAACTTCAATAGATATTCAAAAGAACTTTTTTTACTTGAAAATCTACTTCAACGAAAAAGTTCAAATTTACTTATTTATATAAAAAAAAAAACTTTCATCATCAAATTAAGTATCATCAATTTCTTAGCGAATCCAGGTACAAGTCAAAATTCAAAGCTCAAGAGTACATGACTGGCCTTTGCTGATCATGTCACCAAACTACATACGAAGCTGCTATGTAGTATTACTTATTTTACATTTCAATTTAATATATATATATATATATATATATATATATATATATATATATATATATAAACATATAAACATAAGAAAAATAATTAATTTTTAATAGTATTTATAATTTTTCTATTCTTTACTTTATTTGTTTATGTGAACTGAGTCATTCAAGAAGACAAGAAATTACCAATAAAGTAGTTAACCTAATTTCAGTCTAGTCAATATTAGCTCAAGCTACTTTAATTAATAAGTTTTTTTTTTCTTCAAAAGAGAGTTTCGTGTGGTGAAAGTTAGGAACAGAGATTCATATGATAAACAATTTCTTTTTCATACTTTCACTGAAACACACTCATAAAATAATAGATATGAATTAAGCATCATAAGCAGGATTAATTAATTACTAATTTTCTTTACAAAGATCGTCGTTATCTATGGAAACACAGAAACACTATTTTTATTTTTATTTTTTTCTCATTTTTCTTTTTAATTTTTAATATTTTAAAATTAGTAATTTTAGTTCAACTTTCTAATCTAACATATTAATAGTGAAAATATCATTGTCAACAGTTTTCTTTTGACCATTATGTTTTATTTTTCCACCTATAAACGATATGTTGAAGTCAATTATAAGTATCTTAAAAGACAAAAAAGAAATTTCTTAATATGATTTACTTAATTCTGCAATGCAATACAATAGTCAATATTAATACATTAACTGCTATAGTGTTTTAATTTTTTGATTGTTTAACTAAAATCACTGATTTAAAAAGAAAATAGAGACTAACTTTCTCTATTTTTAAATAAGAAAAAAGAATTGAAAAGAAATTTGTATG